CATAAATAGCTTAGTCGAGTTACTAGAGAAACATTTTCACACAAAAGTTAGGCGATATTTCCTCATCCCCACACCGAACACTCGTGTGGGGATCTTCAGGGATTTACCCGCGTCACTCCTGCTATAGACCCGTTTAATATATGCCTGTTTACTGGCCAGGCCTTTTCTTTATCCAAATGATATTGTAAGTCTTTTAATAGTAATTTGAAATAAATTTACGATAATAATTATAAAATAATGTTACACGACTTCGCAATGATATAGTAAAATATTTTTATATATAAAATAATTTGATTCTTAAATGAGGATCTATGTAGATGTCTATGGGCCACAGCGTACACTTACCATTAGGTGGACTGTGTGCTCGTGTGTCAGTGTCACTCTTATTCTATAGAAAAAAAAATATATAAGTGAGTAATGTATAGTCTGTTGCAGCAAATAAAAGCCACTGAGATAATCTGAGAGCTGACCCACATGCACAACTATATGGATTCACTCCAACGACACGATATGACATATAAATAAAATTTGTGTTTTAAACGTTTTATAACATTTCTTTTCCTTATTTTTGTGCTAGCAGCTATACAGGTCTAATAAAACCTGCACCACAGCGACCGATAACATCTATTGTGATCGCTGCCATGGCTATATTTCATTGCTGAATTATATGAAAGAAATGAAAAGATATAGGGCTTAGCTTTTAATTTCCTTTGTCACTTTAATTTTGCCGACTATTTAAACAAATATATCAATATTAAATCTCAGAAAAACCTAATAAGCAACGAAAAGGAGACTATAGACAAATCCGGAAAGATTTTACGGCTTCCGACCAACCCGTATAATCCAGACGAGATATACCCAATAGTGCGATTATGGCGTTGCCGGTGGAAATTAGTCCGCAACTGCGTTCATTACTTCTTTATGATAACACGTTGTATGTAACCTAAATAACCGGCCAAGTGCGAGCCGAACTCACGCATGTAGAGTTCCGTACCATTGTAATACACTTTTCTTTCACTTTTAATTTTTAATTTATTTTAACTATTATTATTTGTTGTATTAGTTGTGTGGCATTTTTTGGGGGAGGCCTATGTTCAGCAGTGGACTTGTGAAGGGCTGTAATGATGATGATGATGATGATTTGTTGTAAAAGCGGCAATAGAAATACACATTCTGTGAAGGTTGAATCCTATAGATGTATAATATGTTTGTCTCTTTTTAGTGTCGCTTTTTCGTTTTATCGAGTTTCATATCACAACGACTCTAAAGAAGTTTTCGCTTAAAAAATAAGTTAAAAATAAATTCCCTACTATGTTATATATTCTGTGCTACTAGTTCAAATTACTTTTGTTCGCGATGTCCTTTGCATAATTTGTATTGATATTGATTGTTTACCGAGAACGAGTAACTGTTATTTAATATGTAATATGGTTATAGTTACCAGCGATTAGAATAAAAATTCTTATATAGCTCGGTCGGGAGCAACGTCCGGTCGCGTTGAATGAATTTTTAATGAAACAAAGCATAAAGTGTCGTCGTTATAAATTGTATCAATTATGTTGTGACTATGCCCTTTGAGTATGCCCATATTATTGAAATTATTTATTACATTGTTGTACTTCGTTCTTTCATAATTTAACGTCGTATTTGTCTTTTATATCTTTTGGTAAATTGTCTTTGATGAAATTTAATTTCTCTCATCTAAATATCGTGGGTATGTCAGCTCATTCAAGTATCTTGTTAGAAAGTTAGGAGCACTTAATTTAAATGGCATTTAAAAGTTGGTTATAAATTTCACTACGTTATGCACTTATATAAAAATAGATTGCGACTAAACCCATCAATAATCCCACTAGGTTTCTTACTGGTTCTTCCCAGGACAGGTATATCTAAATAAGTGGTAAATAAAAAAATTACTTTCAATAACTATTAAGTAATAATCTATACTGAAAGACAAATCCTATTCCGTTCTATTCTAAATGCTTTCTCCATTATATTCATTATTAAAAAATAAATTTGAACAAGCAATAATGTGGGCACGATTTCTCTAACGTAATTAAAAGTCTTTGAACATAATAAAATCGCGTCGCGCCTTGGTTTGATTGTAATAAGCGTGCCAAAATGGACATTAAAAACAGTAGGTGGTAGAATGGCAGAAATATATTAAGAGAAGCCATAAATGGTAAAAGTGGCATGGCATGAGATGCCACTAAACGGAAGTTGATCGACCAAATTGGCGAAATATTGAATGCATGTATGTGAAAGAAGCGAAAGAGGTTTGTCAGGACCGTGCCAAATGGAAGTCCATCATCTCTCTGCCTACATTTCGGGGCGTCAAGCGTGGGTATGTATGTGATCGCTACCAAGCTATTTCTAATTTGTTTTGTGTGGTTAATTGTGTAACATACATGATTGTAAGCTGTTATTTAAAAAAAAAAGTCCCGCTGGGTTTATTGCTGGTTCTTCCTAAGACAGAGGTTTTTTTTTCGAACCAGTGGGTAATTAAACAAAAGACAAAATTTTAATGAGTATTATTTATAATCTATATTGAATAAAAAAAAGTTTCTGTTTATGTTATGTAGAAAACATAAGTAAAAAAGAAATGAAAAAAAGTGAGAAAATTGAAAAGGTGAATGATATTTTAATAGTTAGTAGCTTCTCCCCGCGGCTTTAGTTGCGTGGACTTGGCTTTACCAGCATCATTAGTGTTCCATGAGAAAATTTGGGATCACCTCGTTGACTGTCACATTTTCTTTTTAGAGACTTACCAGATACATTTACTCCGTTTTTACAGTTTTAAGTAAATATAATTTTATCAATAACTCGACCACAGGACAACGCCATTTATCGTGTACAATTTATTTTTTATTTTGTATCTAAACCAACATTTACAATTACAATTTATTTTTAATATGATTATTTTAGTCCATAAATAAAGATATTGACTGTAGTGTCACCTATCGGGGCTTAGCAGAGCTACGAACCACTTTCTAAAAAAAGTAAATTCTGCGATTCGACAACGTTCAACGATTATATGTGTGAATAATAATTTTCATTTACACGACAGATTTTGGCGGTCGCCCACTAGATGAAGTGACGACCTGGTAAGACATGCAGGAAGTCGACGGATGTAGGTAGCTCAGGACCATGGTTCGTGGCGTTCCATTCGGAAGGCCCATGTTCAGCAGTGGACTTGTGAAGGGCTGTAATGATAATGATGATAAATATAACGCTGATTGTAAGTTAATACCAAGTTGTGCAGAACAATTCGTTCGTTAGTCTTCGAGAACTTCGTTGAACTACATTCAGCAAATGGTCATAGTTCTTTTTTATATAGGTATAGCCATAGGCCAAGGATAAGATGCAAAATTAGGAGAATGAATCGAGTTTTGCGTGGAATATACAGTACACAGTAGAGTTGCTATAGTAACAAAGTACCTACAAGGTTCCTGTGTATCATCATGTTTCCATAGCGCAATAGTTTAGTGTCAATTTAAAATCTTGTGGTAAATGTTACTAAAATAAACATGTTTACGTCGGCAGTGACGTGTTGTCAAATATGTAAGTTAGGAAAACATGCCTTATTTACATAGTAGTGCTTCTATATCTTTATGAGCAAAACATTTATATCGAGGATGGATTTAAAAAGATATTAATTATACCTACATTATATCATTACATATCATTAATCATCAGCCTGTAGCAGTCCACTTTTGGATACGGAACTTTCTAACTACACGAAGGATATAGCTTAATCGCCACACTTGTTACCTATACGGATTGGTGTATTTCGTACGTTCTATGCTCGTCACCAGTGTCGGTATATTTATATCTGACATCAAGAATATCATATCATATTCGTGGCATTTCCTAGTCACATTTTACGATACCCAAGGCATAAAATGGGGTGGTAATTCTCTTACGTCACTCCACTACCACAAACACTACAAATACCTATAAATATATGAAATATATCGTAGAGGTAGACATTAGAAATATTAAAAATAAAATGTTTATTTAAAGAAGAATTTTTCAAATTTTAAACAATCACCGAGTATCTTGAATCTTGTGAAGACGGAAATATCGAGGAACTTTGTATAAACCTATTCATCAAATTGTGTTTTACATTACCATTTTTCAGTTTCATTTAGTAAATTCAATTCTAGAATTTTAAATCATCCTTCCTCATACAAGTCAGGTTGAGTTACGTGCTAACAGTCCATTAGCTCGTCACTCTAATATTATGACGATCGCAGTATGTATGAGGAGTATCTGTCTCGCACCTTTGACGCTGCTTCTCGCCGCCGTGCTCTACATTTTACAGATCTTTCTGGCATTTTCCATAATCGCCTCTTACGACAAACACAGGACAAAATGAGGTAAAGGATTCTCTAACGCCGCCCACCACACAGATGATTTTTTTAAAATCTAAAAGCAACGTCTACGACTTAACTATCGGACTCTGGTCATCTTGTTCAATGTGTATGTAGGTAGGACTTCTTAGAACAAGAACAAAACAAATGAGCCCAAGATCGTTTACTTACTACTACCCACCAAACTGTTTTATTGCCAATTTTCGGTCTCCGTCCTCAGATTGTCTCGATGGTGCTATATTATAGCATTTACATTAAAATTGCATTCGTAAACAAGTTTTAAATGGATAAGACAATTACAAGAAAAGACAGGGAATTCACATATTATATCATCGTAAGAGCAATCGACTTAGGGAAATTCTCGAAAGTGCTTTGATCTTATTGAATTATTATATTCAAATTCAATAGATGGCGGTATAATAATTTAGTAATGTATAGTAAATGTAAAATACCCCGATCCATAATGTTAAAGGTGCGAGACGTTCGCCAGTGTTTGGCTAAGGCTGCAACTAATCCTTTCTATTTGGGAGAAGCATGTGCTCTGTTATTTTGTTTATGTGCTGATAGAAAGGAGAAAGTGAAAAACAACGTTGTAAACGCGTGTCAATAAAAGTAACAGGCACTGACCGTCCGTGGGCGATGTGTAAAGTTTCTTGCACAGCTCCTGTGGCCCGCCGAGCGCGTTGATCTTGGCCAGCCCCTCGGCGCCGCGAGTCTCCATCAGCTCGCGCAGCTGCCGGAGGCTGACGCCATATTGCGCCGGCCGCCCCTCCACCGTAGCCATGGTGCCGGGCTCGCGGCCGCCGCCCGCACCACGCCCGACCACCCACTAGATCTGTAACAATCAAGCAATTTACACTTAGCATACAATTAGCATAATATCTTATAGTTACAAGTTTAAAATTACTTATACTATTCATCGACCCATTACAGTCAATTACTAGATTTAGGCCTCTCTAAAACTTACACTTGGAAGGCAGATGTACGTTCGAGTTATAGACAAACGCACTTTTGACTCAGCTTTCCTCGTCGGTCCGGGTTACAAAAAATAAACTTTTACAAAAAAATTACATCTTCCCTTGGATCGATTAATTTCTTCGTATAGCACCGTTTTACTGTAAAATTATGTAAGCAATACCTAGAACAATATGTTGCATTCTATTGTATTGCCTTGTAACTAGAGTATTCGAGGGGGAAATAACTTTTCAAAGTGCACTCCATCTTTGCGTTTGCATAAATAAATAATGGGTGGCGGGAGTCGACTGTTTTACACCTACACAAAAGGTGTGAAAATTGGATTGTGCCACGCAATGTGATTGTCGTTTGGAATGTTTTCATTTTACAAATACAAATTTCATAAAGTTTTTTGCTCTAAAAATACCACGTGCACGTGCAAAATTTTCATTAAATATAAAGTTTCATATTACTGTAGGTACGATTGTCGTTCATAAAATGAAACAATGTTTTTTCTTATTATGTAACATTACTGTAACCTACTTCCTTCCTTTTTTATTATTTACGCTCACGTAGTGGACTTGATCGTGCTGATCGTAACTGCAGCCATAGTGCGGCATATTACTATAACAATTGTATAGTGTACCTTTGTAACCCCTGGTGTGTTGCAATAAAGGATAAAATAAATAAATAAACGTAAAAGTCCTTAAATACAGTTCATTTAATTTACTTGTCTGTTTGCTATAAGCCCAGGCACCTTACAGACTTACTAAGGGTATTATGTTATTATTAAACTTTGCTAAAAATGTCGGCTGATTGCAATTTATTAAAAGTCAACTGCTGAAAATCCCCCCCCCCCTCCCCCCAAATGTTTTTTTGAAGTTATACTACTTTTGGCGCGTTTGGGTAAAATGATGAGAGTGAATTTTTAAGATGCGCGCGCACACCGAGACCTAAAAACGACACCATGAAGTTGTTACGATGCGCGCGCACACCGAGACCTAAAAACGACACCATGAAGTTGTTACGATGCGCGCGCACACCGAGACCTAAAAACGACACCATGAAGTTGTTAAGATGCGCGCGCACACCGAGACCTAAAAACGACACCATGAAGTTGTTACGATGCGCGCGCACACCGACAACTAGAAGGGACAATTTCATTTGGTAATTGTTTCTCTAGTTTTTATAAGAACTAGTAACTAACTACATTAAAGGTAGTTATTTTTTTTAAACGAAAGGGAGGAAACGAGATATAGGCGGCTCACCTAATGGTGAGTGACCACCGCCGCCCATGAATAACTGCAACACCAGGGGAATTGCAACCTTAAAAGAGTAGGCTCATTTCTTGAAGGTCCCTAAATGGTATCGGTAAGGTTGTCATAGGGGGAATTATTGCCATAGTTGCCACGCTCGGCAAGCGGGTTGTCAACCGCATATTATTTTTTTTGAGTTGTTATAAGGAAGATGTTGTTGCCTAACTCCCTTATTATTTTCCTCTGTCGCCTCTATGAGACCCACGGGGTGATATAGGTAGTGGATTCTCTTACACCCCCACTAAACGGTGGTAGGCACGAGGTAAATTAATTTGATTAAATTAAAATAGAAATTTTTTTTATTGTATAATATGTTAACATACATAGAGAGCCACCGACATATAGTTTTTTTACAGTGAATTGAGTCAATTTATGTGACAGTAGCGTAAAGTGAACATGATATTTGTCATTGAAATATTTTAAAAATGTGAACATTAGTTTTATGAGGATGATGAAAAGAAGTCATCAGCCATAGTAAGGGTCTCGGTTCGCTTCATTCACCATACAAAACACAGCAGCATTGAGTTGATATTTAATGCCGATATTCTGTGTGGGCGTGGTCCTCCACCAATCGAACCAACCTGTTTGTGCTACAGCCATATTATAGCTTAGTATTTAATAGTAAAACAAGGTAATTTAACTGATAGCAGTATACTACTGCAGACATGATGGTAATCATTAAAATATAAAAAAATTGTTCACTGCTGTGAACAGAAATGGATCTGGCGACCGATAGGTGTAGTGATACTGCTCCTCATCACCTGGGTGTAGCATTACAGCAATATAAGGGCATTGGCTGTGTGTCTATGTGTTCACCAAGTTGCTTTATGTGGTCATCATTACAGCCCCTCACAAGTCCACTGCCTCCCCCAAGGAATGCCACAAAGCACGTTCCTGAGCCACCTGCATCCATCGACTTCCTTCATGTCTTACCAGGTCGTCATTCCATCTAGTGGAGGGATGCCCTACACTTCGTCCGCCGGTACGAGGGCGCCACTCGAGAACTTTTTTGCCCATCGGTTGTTGGATCTTCGAGCTATATGGTAAATTGCCCTCTCGGTGATAGAACAAGTGAAAGAACTGGGGGCCGTCTCTTCGTAACTTTAATCATCGAGTTTTTTTATTGTTGTTTGCTGTTATCAGAAAGATGCTGCTGTCTATCTTCTGCCTCAGTTTCCCTCTGTCGCCTCTTACGACACCCACGGGAAGATATGGGGTAGTGGGTATTCTTACCCGTCACTACGCTGGGTATATTATTTGGTATTTTTTATTTATGTTATGTGTAGGTTATTACTTTATGTGGTAAGTGTAAGCAAATCTAAGCGTGTAAAGTCGTGGGTTCAAATCCAACATTGGAATACTGTCGCAAACCACTCCAAACACAAGCATTTTAAGGGGTAATTATAATGGGGGTATTAATAATGTGAATAGCATCATTAGTATTAATTTTTTGCATTCTTGTAAAGGTCTTTGTTTGTGAACGTAAATCTTATGTGTGATAAAACATGGTAGCGTAAATAATATATTTATCGAAAAAAAAAAAGAAGAAGACTGGAAACTTAAAATCGAATAAACCAAAGCTCGCAAAACAAGCAAATGATTAGATGTCTTGAGATAACAACATGAAGAAATAGCAGGCTAAACATATAGTAGAGGTTTTAGGACTCATCAGGGTGGAAGGGTGGCAGGGTACACCTGCGAGGGCTGTTATTGGTGTTTATGGGTCCATAAAGTCATTCCCCGCTCCACTGCACTGTCATGCATAATTAAGACGGCGACGGAAGGTTAATAAAACGGGAAATTTCACGAGCTTGTTTGTATTATGAATTGATGATCGTCTTAATGCGATTATCCGAATAAATCTGGAGCAAATTACGTAGCGTTTCATAATAAAGTAATGAAATCAATTGATCATAAAAGAATTGAAATAATCATATAATGCGAGCAACGTTAATTTGTTCTTTTATCTTATACTTCATGCAAAAACTAACATGTAAAAAGATTGGAAACGAATTTTGCTTTCAATACATTTTAGCCAAATGGTCTTAAGTCGCATGAAAGTCTAGTTAAACATAGTTCTTACACAAGATTATTTGTTTACATTAGAGGGAAAACGAATTCCAATCGACAAATAAAACCCCATTTCAGTAAAGAAGGACTAAGATGAAATGTCTCATCAATTATTCTGGCTTTCTGGAACAAAGTAGTGGGGGCTAATTGACAGATATAGGTAAGAGTATGGTACTGGATGTACTTGGAATTGCTGCTTCAGTTGGCAAGCGGATTGCCGGTTGTATGGCGAATAGAATGCTTATACAGTCACGTAATAATATATATTCCTTGGTATACCAAGGAATGTATATTATTATTACTATGTACTGTTACCAATATATATAATATTACTGTACTCTGTAATGTTACCAATATATATAATATTATTACTATGTACTGTCATCGTGTGTACTGAACATCTGGTAATATTTCAGATGGTAATTCGGAAAACGAGACCGTAGGGAGCGAAAATTTAACTTACTTTACGAGGAGACAATTGGCCAGTACAACCTTATTACTAACTGACCTGACAGAGGTTATTCTGCCCATTCTGATTGGTGACGCGATGAGTTCATTTTCACACACACACTTTTCTATATATTTATTATACGTATAGCTAAATCCTCTTCAGGAATCATCAGCAGCCATAATGACAATAAACTAAAAAAACAGGGAAAACATAAGCCTTTTTTTACTCTTCCGTAAGCGGGTAAAAGTTGCCTATATGTTATACACGGTCATTTACTACATACATACACAATTTTATGGAAATCCGTCCTGTAAGTTTTGCGTGAATCGTGAACACAACATTTTTCTACAGATTTATTATATGTATAGATAGACAGATAGATTACGTAAAAAGCAAAAACGAAAAGAGAATTGCGATCACATAGCTTTTACCGTTTGGAAATTCACGGGAACACAAATAGATAGTATATATATATATATAGGTCGAGTTTGTTAGCCGAACAATCAAAGAAGGCTTTGTGATCGCAGTCACCGAGCAAGTCAGTACGTGGGGCGTTCCGAAAGGAAAGTTTAGGTACGAGTATGTCGTAAAACAAACACTAAAATACGCAAGGAGCCACGCCGTATTTTACGAATAATGTTCGAGCACCTCGAGCGGAAATTATGTGATGTGAGCACACGGCAACTGAGGCCCGGGGCTTCTTGTTGCTGTTGAAACTCAGTATACTGTTTGAGTAATTAATTTGGATGCATTGCACGATATAACAAACAAGTTGATCGAGATGTGTTAACATTTTGTACAACACAGATATGCGCGGAAGTGTGTCATGTTAAAACAAAATGGTAGGCGATAATGAAATGAGCAAATATATTTTGTGATTATAGTGTATCGATTACATTTTATCGCGCGTGTAAACGATCATAAATATTTTACAATATAATATACTTTTTTACTAGCTATTTATAATGCAGAAAGATATAAGGTTATCCTCAATGCGGATTATAGGTTTTCATAGCGAATAGGTAGATAATATTTTGGATCTTT